TCTCTCCACACAGCTCCCTTCTGTTTCTTCAGATCTCAGCCCAAATACCACCTCTCCTCTGAGCCCTTCCCTGGCCCCATTCTAGAGGAGGTCTCCTTTTTCTTTGACTTGCCATCACTTGCATTCATTTGCATTTCTGGCTCCCTCCCTTTAAATGAAAACTTGGAAGTGCCAAACAATGTATGTTTTCAATGTTGTATCCCCAGCATCTCGTGTAGTGTTTGGCATTCGGTATGTATGAATTGAATGAGAGACTAAAAAAATTGTTGAATCTCAAATAAAAGTCCATATATTGTCCTTACTGGTGAGCCATTAAAAGCATTCCCACTGAAGTCAGGAGCAGAGTGAGCATGTCAGGTACGATTTTCTGATTTAACGATGTATTTGGTCTTCACCCCCCTTTCTGGCCCAGAGCTCCCAAAACTGTGGGTTTCCTAAAAGTTAAGAGCAATGGGAGCATCTTTTGCTATGTACTATCTGGTCTTTTGTCTTCATTTCTTAAAGTATCTCCAGAGCCATAAAGGTAAAAGGAGTGTCTTTTTTTTTTTTTTTTTTTTTAAGATTTTATTTATTTGACAGAGATCTCAAGTAGGTGGAGAGGCAGGCAGAGAGAGGAGAAAGCAGGCTCCCCGCCGAGCAGAGAGCCCAACACGGGGCTGGATCCCAGGACCCTGGGATCATGACCTGAGCAGAAGGCAGAGGCTCTAACCCATTGAGCCACCCAGGCGCCCCGAGTATCTTGTTTTTTATAACAAGCCCGCTGCAAGCACTCTTGATCCATGTTAAGAAGGTGACTTTGGAAAGTCCCTAAAACGGGGTGTGCCAGGGCAATCAGCCAGATGATTAGAGGGTTGGAACTTTTGGCCCCTACCTCTCAGACCTCTGGGGAGGCAAGAGCTACTGGGGACTGAGTTGATGATTTATTCAGTTATGCCTACATAAAGAAGCCTCCGTAAAAACCCTGAGGGATAGGGTTCAGAGACCTTCCAAGCTGGTGAACATGTGGAGTTGCCGCCCTGCGTCTGGAACCTCTGTGAACTTGGTGTGTGTATCTCATTGTTCCTGAGTTTATCTTCTATAATAAAACAGTCACCTAGTAAGTAACATTTTCTCTCAAGATCTGTGAGCCACTCTAGCATATTAAATAAACCCAAGGGAGGGGGTTATGGGAACCTCCAATTTCTAGCCAGTGATTCTGAAGCATATGTAACAACCTGAACTTGCACTTGGCATCTGAAGGGAGATGGGTGGGCAGTCTTGTGAGACTAAGCCCTTAACCTTTGGGATCTAATGCGATCTTCAGGTAGGTAGTGGCAGAACTGAGTTAGCTTACAGGACGCCCAGCTGGGTTGCAGAAATTGTGTGGTGTGTGGAAACGCACATATCTAGTGTTGAATGAAGTAGTGTTGTAGTAAGAGTATCTAGACATACCAATATTGTTTTCCTTGAATCAGGTATCACTGTTATTATTGAACATTACTTTGGAAGCATAGCAAAAGAAATTGGGCAAGAAAATGAAATCTGAAATTTAAATGTTTAAAGAGGTGAAAACGATAAAGCAACTGATAAGACTACTGTATACTTTGGGGAGAAAATACAGGTTAACAAGATTTAATGCAAGAATATTTGAGGCAACCTTTCCAAAGTGATTTTGCCATGTGTGGATTTTTAGGGCAACTCATTAGTGAGATGTAATTTCAAACTTTAAAAAAGTTGCAAGAATAGTATATATCCTTTACTCAGATTTACCTGTTTGCATTTTGCCCCATTTGACTTTTCTATTTTGTAATTATAGTTACCTATCCATCTATACATAATTCTTTTTGTTGGGAAACATGTAAGAGTGAATTGAAACCATTTTGTCCCTCAATACCCAAATACTTAAGTGTATATTTATCAAAATTATCAAAATCAGGAAACTAACGCATATCTACGACTGTTATCAAATGTGTCCATAGTCTTTTGTCCCAGAAATGTCCTGTATAATACATTTTTCCTCCTGGCTCAGCATCTAACCCAGGATCACACTTTATGTGCCAAGTCTCAGTCACTTTTAATCTGGAAAAGTTCCTCAGCCTTGGTTTTCCTGACCTCTGGATTTTGGAAGAGCATCAGTCAGTTGTTTTATAAAATGGCCCCAATTTTTTTTTTATTTTTGATGTTACCTCATGATTGAGATTATGAATTCTGGACAGGAATAATGGAAGTATGGTATCTCTCTGTCAAGAGGCACATAATATTGGTTTATTTCCATTCCGTGATGATGGATTTTACCACTTGGCTGAGGTGGTGCTTGCCAGGTTTCTCCTGTAATGTCACTATTTAAATATGTTTCTCATCAAACTTTACTCCCTAGTTTTAGCATCCATTGATGATTTTTTAACCCTACCATTCTCCCTCTGTATTTATTAGTTGCATTCTACTGTAAGAGATTTTTCCTCCTCATTATTTATATTTTATTTATAAAATATATTTTTATACTTTTGTATATTTGTATATTTAATATATACATTTATATTCAAATGGACTAATTAATTATTCCTTTTAGTTCTGTTTAATGGTTATTCATTATTATAAGATAGGATTTTTAACCAATTTCTGCTTCTTGTAAAGTGAGTAGTGTTCATATAGAATTTCTCTACATCCAGTTTGTCTCTTCTAGAGTTTTTAGGCAGGCCATTACCCCTCTCAAAGTTTTCCCCACCCCCCTAAAAAAATCCTTCCCAGACTGAAGTTTACTTGGTTTCCTTATGGGCTTTATCCAGGCCTGTAATAGCTATCTGTTCCCTTTGTTTCATTTGTGTAACGTTAGAACATCTCTCGTGTTTGCAAGTTCATGTGTTGTAACTCACATACTACACACTACACATTAACGAGACTTTGCTTCACAGCTCTAAAATAGGTCATGCAATTTAGAGTTCAGAAGCTCTTGTGCCCACTGATAGCAAATTTATAAAGGAAGTTAGCTGCCTCAGGATTCCAGAATTTTGGATTTGATTAAGCATCTTGCCTTGGCAAAAGATAGACATTGAAAGACTGATGACCAGTTACTTTGTCCTTCCTTCCCCCAATTTAGATAGGAATCAGAATTGTAATTGCAGGAAGGAGCAAGATAATGGCAGCTCACCCATTGGAAGAGGATCCCTATCCAAGTCTGTGGATGTTATGTCTGGGACTTCATCTGTTCATCAGATACCTAGTAAGGGTCTACCATGTGGCAGGTTCTTGGATAGGCAGTGGGCATACAGGAACTAAACAGCCTCTACCCTCAAGAAACTAGCATTCTAGAAGGATAAATGACAGATGCAGCTGGTGCTCCATGCTATGAAAAAAAAGTAAGGGATATACTAATGGGAGAGATGTCTTTTTTCTTTTAATAAAAGATGGTAATATTTGAATAGAGATCTAAAGCTTCAAAGCCATAGGGCTGGGGACGGGAGAGTGAGCAGAGGGAGAGCCCTGTAAGCAGAAGGAGCAATGAATAGGAGCTGAAAGATGGGAGAATGCCTGATATGCCTGAGGCCGAGCTGAAGAATCAGCCAAAGAGTAGTTGGTGAGGTAGGATAATAGGAAAGGTCCTTGGATGCCAGGTAAAAAACCTGTTTCCAGGAGGAGGGAGTAAGGAAGGGAAATGCTGCTGATGGGTCTGGTAAGGGGAGTGTGGAGAACTGTCAGCTTGGAGAGTGCCTGTTGAAATGTTTCAGAATGCCCACTGGAGTGGGTTCAAGAGAGAATGCAGGGAGCCCAGATGACTCTTTGGAGGATTATGCTCTAAAAAGGACCAGAAAAATGGGATTGGACCTAGAGAGTTATATGGGATACCAAGGGAGGGATTTTTAAAGGAGAGAGCTTAGCTGTTGGTTAGTGGTGAGAGTATCCAAACAAGAAACACTGGATGCAGAAGAGGAGCAGAGCAGCAGCAACAGTGTCCTTGAGCACATGAGCAGGACTGTGCACAGAGACTGAGGCAGGAACAAGAGCAACACCGCATCAGGAGGGAGGCCGAGTGTCAGTTAAGGGCAGTGAGTAGAGAAGCACGTAAAATCAAGTGCCCGCTAGCATGTCAGCTTCCTTTTTTCTGCTCATTTTATCTCCTTGCTTCTTTCATCTGTAGATTTTACATTTCTTTGACCTGTGTGTGTGTGTGTAATTAGCATTTCTTTGCTTTATAGTGTGGGGGTGGTGCTGCTGTCCTTGAGTTTAGTCCAGTGTGCTATGCTGCTGAAAGAGAAAAGTTAAACATTGATCTTCTGAAAAGAGTTTGAGAGGCCTTGATGTTAGAGGGGGGAAAATTGTGCGCTTTTCGTATAATTAAAAGTATCAGTATATACGGTGTATGCTAATGGTTAACTTTTAAATCTCCAGTTAAATTAAAAAGTAGGACTCATATGGGTAAGTAAGCATAGTTGAAAATTTCTATGGAGATGCTTGTTAGTCTAATAAGCTTTGTTGTTAACTTTTTTTTTATTTATAAAAACACACTTTTCCTGACTTTAAAAGAAACATTTGTTGTAAAATATTCAAACAATAATGTATAAAGTGTAGGCAGTTCTTTTCACCCACACTTCCCCAACCTTATTCCACCTTTTCAGAGAGAACAATTAATACCTTGTAATAATACTTTTCCAGACTCTTCTATATATATTTAATCACGGTTTCCAGCTTAGCTGTTTGATTTTCAACAGAAAATGAAGTAAAAACTGCCTATTGGCCACACTGATTTCTAAATCTAATCAAATTTTTAAGTATTTTAAACTCCAGGCTTTATAAATGCATATAATTTAAATTATGCAGATTCAATAGCCTGTGTCTCAGTGAGTTTCTTGGGCTTTCAGAATTAAAATGTTTCTTAAATACTGAAATAATGCAATGCAAATCTTAGCTTTTGACTTACAGTTTTTATATCACTGAGCAGTAAGTATAATGCAGTTTTAAGGTTGTTTTGACTTCTTTGGGGAAGTATGAACTTCTGTGTAGCAAATTTTTGGGTACTTTTATAGGAGAATGAAGTACTAAGAGAGAGGCATGAAGCTATGGGTCACAGCTACCAGAATGAGGAAAATGAGCAAAGAGTATCAGCCCAAGAAAAATCACTACAGCAGAAGAATGAGGATGAAAGTAAAATAGCAGATAAACCTGACTGGGAGGCAGAAAAGACCACGCAATCTAGAAATGAGGTAAGCATATCTGAGTAGCTCAGCCTTACCATTTTGGCTATAAGGTATTTCTTTTTTTTTCTTTTTAAGATTTTATTAGAGACAACGAGTGCACAGGAGTGGTGGAGAGGGCCACGGGGAGAGGAACAAGCAGACTCCCCCGGTCAGCAGGGAGTTCAATGATGATGAGCTTACGGGTGTAGATCCCAGGATCCTGACCTGAGCCCAAGGCAGATGCTTAACCAACTGAGCCACCCAGGTGCCCTAGTAAGATAGATTTTATGGCTTTGACAATATGTGTTGGTAATGAATTTTCCATGTAAGTGCCCTACTATAAGCAAATCAGATACATGAAAATATGTATTTTTTTTAATAGTTGTGGTAGTAGTTATTTGATTTACAAAATAATCAGCCCATATTAGTTATCTTTGGTTAAACTCAAGATTGTGTTTAGAGGGGGTGTATTTATATACACCCCCCCCCCAGAAGTTGCTTCCTGATTTTGCTGTTTTGCCGTGGCAAGGGATAAAGAGGTAACTGCCATGCTAAATCCAGGAATCCTCAACCATCCCTCTGAAGAGGCACCAAGCTGGCTAGGTCTGGGATAGTGAGGCAAAACAACTTGAAGGCAAATCACCCCTTAAAACCAGCTGGGTCTTGGGCTCAAATCCTCACAGAAGTCTCCATGCTGAAGTCAGGAGCCCATTTTGTACCTCTGGCCAGGCCAGGTGGGACAGGCTCCTTGGCTATTCTAACCATACCCTTTGACTAGGAGAAGATGTATTATAGGAAGATGAATTCCAGAGGCCAGGCTGAGAGATGGGAGTCTTTCTGCAGCCTGTGCTTCCTTTCCTTCTACTCTGGTTTCTACTCAGCCCTGCTGACATCCTAGTCCACAACCCTGGCAAATAAATACTCCAGAAATAGGCCTGGAGGTTCGAGAGACCCTTAACCCATGTGGCACTTCACTTGGAAGGTGTACCCTTATAGGTCTTGCCCTGATGACTCTCAGCCAGTGACTTGCCCCAGATGGGGAACCACGTTTTTATATTTAACATGACGTTTTAGTTACAATAGTAAGAGTGAGAGACTGACCAGGGGCGCCTGGGTGGCTCAGTTGGTTGGACTTCTGCCTTCGGCTCGGGTTGTGATCTCAGGGTCCTGGGATTGAGCCCCGTGTTGGGCTCTCTGCTTGGTGGGGAAGCCTGCTTCCCCCTCTCTGCCTGCTTCTCTGCCTACTTGATCTCTGTGTCAAATTAAAAAACAAACAAACAAAAAACCAAACTTTCTTGGCAATCTAAATTACACTTAACAGGCTGTCTGGATGGCTCAGCTGGTTAAGTGTTTGCCTTCAGCTCAGGTTGGGATCGAGCCCCATGGGACTCTGTTCAGTGGGGAGCCTGCTTCTGCCTGCCATTCCCCCAGCTGATGCTCTGTGGCTAATAAAGTCTTAAAAAAGAAATCACACGTCTCTTTAAGTTAACTTAAAGAATGTCTTAGTTGTCCATTTTTGTGTAAGATCTAATGTCTCAAAATTCTTAAATTTTATAGTAGACAGAAGAACTCTGTTGCAGGACTTCAAACAGATGTAAAGGCCCTTAACTAGAAAGCATGTAACACATCTGATGAGATTCTAAGGAGGAGTTTTTAGGGCCTGGCTCAGTAGGAATTAGCCTCTCAGTTTGCCATCTCCATGGGCACTGAAGGGAACACATAAAGGTTTAATGAAACATACCTGACTGGCCTGAAGGATTAGTCCATAATTCACTTAAAGCAGAATGGGCTTCATACTATACCTATGTTCTAAATATTAAGGCTTTCTTTTATGCACATAGTTTTATTTACCTACAATTTTAAGATTTTCACAGGAATCCAGATTTGTGCTGATACTCTTGCTCAGACACTTCTGACCATCTGCAAATTTTGGTCAATGGTTGGGCCAGGACTAATGACTCAAGTTTGGGATCATTAACAGAAATAGAACTCTTCTGAAATATCTTAAAATTCAAAATGGTTTTTAGTTTCTTAACAGTCAAGTTAGCAAATAAGTATCCAGCCCACTAAGAATGTATGATTTGCTAGTAAATGAAATCTTATGTACCAGTTGAGCTTAGATGGTCCTGTAGCATCTGTAGACACAGAAAGCCTTAGATTTATTGTATTTTATGTGCCTTGAAAACATGGCCTCATAGAACCCAAGATATTTAGTGGAAAGGGAAACCAAATATTTGTATACACTTAAAACAATTAAGTCTAACACTGGTCTGAACCCTAAAAAAAGGGGGGGGGAACCCTCAAGTACAAAGCCAGGGGAGGGGAGTTCAGGAATGTGAACTTACTAAAAAGTAAAGATAAAACTCCTATGATAGACCAGAACCAGAAATCTTGAATAAAAAGTATTTTACGTGCATAACCGAACACAAAAGCCAGAAAGGGAACTCTGTAAATACAACAAAAAGGCGACTCAAATCCATAATTTAAGAACTAATCAGACAACCAAAACTGAAGCAGCCCCAGTGAAAAAATGGATACAGATGTCACAACTGAGACTGGGGTTTAATGAGAAATGAGGTCTCAAGCCCATACCTGGGGATACCAAAATTCCCCACTTAAAGCTCAGAATTTAAAGACTCTTCTGTTAGGAGATGGGACTAGGATAATCCCAGAGACATGAGCAAATTAGTAGTCTATCCATCCTAGAAATCAGAACCCCAGATGAGCCCGGTGTTTGAAGTCTGAATCCACACTACCATTACTATCAGGAATCCTGATCCAAAAAAGCAAGGTCTACAAAATGGTATCAAAACTAGTCCTTGCAGAGAGAAAAAAAAAAATTATAGTTGGTGGGTAACCCTCAGTATGTGGGATTCCTACAGAAAAAGTTACCAACAAAGATGAGCTCACCCTTAAATATAAAAAATTAAGACAGAGTGAGAAAATTCTAAGATGAAGATGAAGCAGTCTTCAGTGTGTTTATGGCAAAATATTTTGAAAATTAAAGTGATTTTAGGACTCAGATTAAAGGAGTACAGAGTCCCAACAAAGTGAGTAAAAACATTAAGTCTCCAAAACATCAAACTGAAGTTAAGACAACAGACTACAGGAGAAAAAACCTTTTAAAATTACTGGAGGGTAAGAAGAGATTGGCTATAAAATGAGACTGACATCAGTAGCAATACATGCCTTAGTGCAAAACATTAAATTTGATCATCTTACCACATAAACCACTGTTTAAGCATGAAAGCAAAATAAATCCAGGTTACAAAAACTGAGTTTACCACTGGTGGAGCCTCTCTAAAAGAGCTGTCAAAAGGAGTTATTTCAGTAAGAAACCTGAAGACTGGGATAAAGCAACAATGAGCGAAGTTGCCAGAAACATTGTGGTAAATATATTTAACTTGTAAAAATTGCATAATCTTATAACCAATTTGGAGGGTTAGCCGTGGTAAAAACAAGGCAGGATGAAGAATACCAACCAAAAGTTATATGGAAGATGAACACTGAAACAGGAATGTAAAAATTCCAAAATAGGCATAAAAGTCCAGGAGAGAGAGAAAACCTGGTTATCCTTTCAAGATTAAGCCTACTGCTTTCAGCTCAGGTCATGATCCCAGAATCTCAGGATCAAGTCGGGCATTGGCATCGGGCTCCCAGCTCCACAAGTCTGCTGCTCCTTCAGTTGAGCCTAAAGCCTCAATTAACCTCTTCTGCTTTTTAACTTAATGGTGAACCTTATGTTTCTTTATAGAGATCTCTGAATGGGACAGAAACAGCTTTCTCTCTGGATGACTTATCTCAGATGCTTTTGTCACAGCCTGAAAATTCACTGGAGGTAATTAGAACCTTGGCTTTCATTCTTGTAGGAAATCACTGATCCATGAATGTTTCTCTTTAAATGGGATGACATAGTTTATATACTTTAACAGTACTACATTATGTAAGTGCACAGACTGAGGGTTACTTTTTACAGAACTACTTTATAATTTTAAAGAATTAACCAAGTATGTATACTGTTCCTCCTTCTAAATGATCACAAGGATATAATAAAATTTGGGATTCACGGAATCAAAAACAACAGTAAATACTTGACAAACTAAGGCAAGATTATTTTTCTGGTAGCATTTATGTCATACTCAACTATACTGCTCTGATTTACTACCTTGCCCAGACTACTTCAGTGTGGATTTATTGCCAACAGCTTGGTTGATTCAAGACCAACTTTTATATTAACTGAATCAAACTAATTTCCAGGATATACCAAAAAAACACACCTTTCCCTACATACAGCATCATTCAGATTTGGGTTCACACTGCATACTGTATTTGCCTAGATTTAGTAAACTGAGGAAAGAAGAGTGCTATTACTAGTTACTGTACTGCTGCTGAAATAAGATTGTGTTTAAAGTGCTTTTTTTCCCTTTTCAGGGCATCTCACTTGGAGATATTTTTCCAGGTAGTATCAATGATGGCATGAATTCTTCAACACGTAACATAAACTTTAGCCAAGCTATAAGTCACGATGTGAATCTCCATGACGCCATGTTGCTATGTCCTGACAATACATTTAGAAGAGAACCAACAGCAAGGACTTCACAACCAGAAGAACCATTTCTGCAGTCAAATTCTCATACTACCAATCCTGAACAGACCCTTCCTGGAACTCATCTGACAGGATTTCTTCCCCTTGTTGGCAATCAGATGAGGAATCTAAGTCAAGACCTTCTACGTGACCTTGATATAAGCATATTTGATGAGACAAATTTAATGTCCTTGGCCACAGAAGGTTTTGATTCAATGGAAGTGTCTCAGCTTTTTGAAGAACTGGATTCTGATTCTGGGCTTTCCTTAAATTCAACCAACAGTACCTCTGTCACCAAGTATAATTCCTCTTGCTCAATGTGTGAAGGCGGTGCTACAGGTTATAGTGACCTGGAAGGAGCTGTAGGAGGCTACTACCCAGATCCCAGTAAGCTTTGTCACATGGGTTGGAGGAATGATTCTGGCTTTCATGGGGACCTTGCCATTCAACACATACATCATAACCACACTTACCACGTAGAGCCAGGTGCTCTAGATTCCACCCCTAGATCTTTTTCACAGCATGGGAAGTCACAGAAAATAAATAAGCACCTGAATGACACAGACAGAAACTTAAGTCGCGATGAGCGACGTGCTAAGGCTCTCCATATCCCTTTTTCTGTAGATGAAATCGTCCGCATGCCTGTTGAATCTTTCAACAACATGCTAAGCAGGCACTACTTGACAGATTTACAAGTGTCACTCATGCGTGGTATAAGAAGAAGAGGGAAAAATAAAGTTGCTGCTCAGAACTGTCGTAAACGCAAACTGGATATAATTCTGAATCTCGAAGATGATTTATGTAACTTGCAATCCAAGAAGGAAATCCTTAAGAGAGAACGAGCCCAGTATAACAAAGCTATTACCACAATGAAACAAAAACTCCATCACCTTTATCACAGTATTTTTAGTAGGTTAAGAGATGATGATGGTAGGCCTGTCAATCCAAACCACTATGTTCTTGAGTGCAGCCAAGATGGAAGTGTTTTGATTGTACCTAAGGAACTGGTTACCTCAGGCCACAAAAAGGAAAACTGTAAGGGAAAAAGAAAGTGAAGAGAAGAAACTGAAGGTGGATTCCATTATGTAGGAGTTAAACTGATACATGGCCACAAACCACTGAAACTGCTTCAAAGTATTATCTTTTACTACTGCTACTTGAATCACTCAGGACTACATTTTGAAACTCTTATGGATTATGTTTGTGGGAAATTTTGGGGAAGCCACAACTTTTCATCAAGTCCAACTATATTTATGCAGAACTCAAATATCTATGTACAAAGAACAGGATGACATGAAAAGCAGACAATCCAGTCATCTGGTTGCCTTTTTCTTCTTTTTCAGTAACATAGTCACTTCAAAGAGCAAACACTGGATGTAAATTGTTTTTAAACATTTTGGTTTTTTGTGACTTGAAATGCAATGTAATTTAGCTTCAAGTTTTAATTTTTTATAGCATTGTAGTTACCACTGAATATACGGAGCCTTAACAAAAGCTTTTTTATCTATGAACACTTAAATTGCTTTCTGTGGAAATAAATTTGAATTTATAAAAATTTCTTATATAGAAATTCTAACCATTATTTACCTTGGATATTCTCCATAAAACCCACATTCAGGAATACAGGTGAGTATATAACCAATAAGGCTGCATAGTGTGGGTTTATTTGCACAAAAATTGATCAGACTCAGTCCAAACTAAAGTCATCCCTTTGACTTGGGTGCCAAGAGAAAACTGGACTTCAGAAGGAGAATGCATTCACAAAAAGTTAATGCCTCTTCTTAGTAGACAAAACAGACCTACCCAGCAAGTTAAGCCAGCCTGTGGAAATTCCACATCTAGAACATGGACCTCCCCCCCTCCCCAGAAGGCCTCATGTAACAATGTGAGAACGTTACATGCCACACAAGAACACAAGCCAACAGTAAGGGGAAGTCAGTAGAGGAGAGACTTCACACCCAAAAATGGGATCATCTGGTTAAGAACAGGACAATAAATGAAATAAATACTAGAAATGGCATTTGAAATGAAAGCTCAACGAGCTTATTGCAACAGCAAGATGGAGATTATTTTCAGAAAATGTCCCAAGGTTTGCCAACATTAACATGCATACTGTTTAATTCCAAAATTATAGTCAGTGTTGTCAGATGTTATTTCTGCCATAATCGTCTGCCATAGAATTATCACCAAGTATCACCTTGGTTTAGAGAAATGCAGTGCTTTCAGTGTCTAGATTTTTTATACATTTTTTTATAAATCTTTTAAACTGAGCCTAGAAAGGCATTTAAGTCTAGATTTTGCCAACAAGATGTTTCTAAGGTTGTTACAGTCAGTTCTGTACAGTAACAGTCTATTCAGATTAAACTCTTCAAGGGAATACACCTCAGATTTTAACTTGGTAATTTCAGCGGCAAGGAGGGCACATTCCTACAGAAAAGTCCTTCACATCTACAATTTAATGTTCCATGGTACAAACTTACCTATGAGTAGCCGTATCTACCCAATTGTTTAACACTTATAAGACTGGGCATTATCCTCAAATCCCTCAAAATATCAAGCACCACAATTAACTATACACCAAAGGTTCAAACTGAAACTCAAAACAATGGTGTGAAATCTGGAAGGTATATGGTGCATTGTGACCAAAGGTAAATGCACCAAAACTTCCAAAGAAAAATCTGGCTTCAAAGGATGTAAACTAGAGCTGCTTACTCTACTGTCATGATACACATTCCAGCAGTGGAAATCCCAGGCCAAGATTTTAGTCTAAATTCCCTTGCAGAAGAAATGGGATACCTGAAGGACTAAAATATTCCATCTACTGTTCTTATAGATTATCCTGGAGCTCAGAAAGATAAGTGAATGGTTGAAAAGGAGAAATCTGATCTGGCTTCTGACCATGTTCAAAATCTCAAAAGTTCTCACTGAAGTTATATGCACTTTACCTGGCAGAATCTGAACCACGCTGCTCCCTTAGCTGCCACTCCTTAAACTGCTGTATCCATCCCGTTATTCTGAGACATGACTAACACAGTCGATACTGTTTAACTGAGACAGTTTTATCAAAATAAGGTTCTGATAGTGGGAGAGGTAGGTGACCTCAAACCTCTAGTGTTTCAGGTTATTTGGTATAGGGTTTACAAATGCAAATTTCAAGGGGATCAGTAAGACAGCTGAGATCTGTAATGCTTATTACACTTAAGCAACTAGTTAATTAACCCTTAGCTTTTAAAAACCTTTTCTGGTGGGTACCCCTTCCTCTCCTGCATCTGCAGTGGATAGGTGCAAACTTACAACCCAGTCTGAATTGGTCCCAAGAGGAAATGAGTCTTACCTTCTTTACCTATGGGAAATAATTGTTAATCCAGAAGTGACTCCTCCAATTATAAAGTTACAAGGGAAGAAATCTCAGCATCTCATTTGTCCTTTTCCAAATAAAGCCTTCATATTCCAAAAGTAGCCATCACCAGACATCCATGCTGAACCATATTACAGGTGAAATTATATTTTCAAGTGTATATTAATTTCCATGCAACATGTACTAAAGAATGTCTGGATAATTTGGATTCAAGGCTGGCCTCAGTTCAACCTGGACCTTTTGAACATTCAGAAAACCCAATACACACACATTCAAGCCCCAGAACAACACTCAGACTACACTGTGCACATATGAAGACTTACACGCCTTTTATGTCTAAATCATTCTTAACATCCCCCTTCTTGGGTAGTCTACTCACTTCACTAGTTAGATGCATCACCCAAAGATCTGTTCTATCTAAACGATCGGCGCAGTACTAAACAGTGTCATTAAAACTGAACGGGGTCTATCAACCATCTAGAGGCAGTCATTCCAAAGCTCCGAGATCAAATTTACATCAAATGTTGCCAAGAATGTGTATGTTTTTAGTATATTGTTAGTGTTGTCTACCTTTTTGGAAAGGAACCCACACTTGTAAACTAGTAATTGTCATTAGTAAGGAACAGAGTATTCAAGTTTCCTTAAATTAACTCAGTACTCTGAACACTTAGTGCAAATAGTTATAATCCCTTTTAGACCATCTTGGCTTGTATTCATACACCAGTTATTGAAAACCTTACATGCAACAGAGTAAGTTTCAAAATTTCCAGTAAAGATTAACACTCCTAATGTGGAAGCCAGCCCTCAAATATGGCTCCCAATGATGCTGGTTTCCCAGTAGTCCAAGAAGTAAATGCCCTCCATTCACATGATGTGACCATTAGGATATAAGATACTGCCAAACATTGATTCTGTTGAGGATTTTTTGACTGCTCCAATAGCTAAGTATAGGGAAAGGAAATAGCCAGCCCCGACTTGCCAGCCCTGTCAGTATGCCCTAGTTAAGCTTTTCCTAAAGTGAACCTTGAACTTTTGCGAAGTTCACATAGCCAAGTAGTTTGTTTTCAAGTTGTTGACCTGCAAATACTGTGGAAATAACAAATTCAGTGTTGCTCCAAACTGCCTAATATTGAACTTAAGGATTAAGCCTTATATAGAAATGTAATGCAGCAACATATGCAAAAAAATGTTGTGTGGAAAACTTATCAACTACCTTAAATCTGAAGTTTTAACAGAAATTAGCAGCCCAATAGACTTACACAAGGGAATACCATGTGGATTATTCAATATTACCTGCTTAACTGCAATAAGCCAGTTCTTTTCAGCCTATTTTGTGCTATTCTTTTTTAAGAAGTTTGTCCTGATTGAGGGTTCGGTACTTCAGGTTGTGCTGTTATACCAATTTGATTTACCTCCTTCAAAACCTTCAAATTATGTACCTGATTTTCAAGTACTCTAAAAAGTTTAGTTGATGGACGCATCTACTGTATTTTAAACAAGTAACAATGTAGCTTATCTTCTGTTAATCATCAGTCTGACTTACCTGTGAGATACACCTCATTATCCCCTCCCCAAAAAAAGCCAAACAGGTTTTATCAACCTATGTACCTTTCCTGTTATCTTTCATTGTTTCAGGTAATATATACAAGAAAGCTACTGCTTGTTAAATTCTGTACACCATGTTTAAACCTTTAAAAAGACAACCACTGAAACTCCGTTAAAATGCATAAGTCATCAACATTTGAGTAGCTACTATGACAGACTGTCTCAGTGCTTTGCAGTCACTTAACTGCAACAACTCTAGCGGTTTAAAAATATTTTTAACAACGCCACCAGCAATGTTTTACATACAAGGTAAAGCCAGAAAACTAGAGCAGTATTCAAAAACGCTGAATGTACAGTATATAAAGAATGGCATTTTATTAGGGACAGCCAATAATGTCCACAAATCCTTTTCTTATTGGACTATCAATACTGAAAGAAAAATGGCAATATGCATAGTTTTTTCAAACTGCTTTGAAAAATCTAGGGGATAGCAATCTTTTAGACAACTGAATGTTTATAGAACAAGACTCACATATTTTATGTGTAAACATTACACCAAGTATTTTAATACAAAAGTGTTTATTTTATAAACTTTATATTTAAAATAGAATTTTTATCTGTCTACTCACAAAACCTAGTTTAAAACATGATACATTTCTCTCTCTAGCTTATCTGATGTTACTCTTTTACAAACAACACTCATTTTGTAACTGTTTTATATTAAGAACCTGTACTAAATGAAGTTTGTATTTTTCAGAAAACATTTCCCCTTAAACTTAAAGTGCTTTTTTTTTTAAATGAAGGCACCAACAAGAACTACTTTCAGATGGTACAGAATTTCTTATTTCTTGAAGACTCTGTGGTTGACCACTTCTTCATTAGTTACCTGCAGCAAGACACCTTCCTGCCAAAGGAAAAAAAAAGTATCTGAAGAAGTTTATCATGTTTGTCCAAAGAACCTAAATAACTTCAGTGGTGGTCTTAGGATCAAAGAAGACTCACTGGTGCATACAGTAGAATATGCCCTGATTATCACATTCCTGAAAAGGCAATAAAGCCAGGCAAATCAAACTCTGATGACATTTAAAAATTTCAGCAGCCAGCCTACATCTCTCCTATAAGGTACGGGGTTGGGAAAAAATTATCACATTTAAACCCAAATATTTAGTACTGGATACATACAGGATTTATAACGTAGACACTTTATTTGTTAAGTATAAACTATCCATCTGGAAATAGTTTCAACCATTTTACCCTACCTTCTCCTGAACCTGATCCTGATAAGCATGTAAAACTAAAACAACCATATAACAGAAGAACAAAATGTCTTTATTTTTAATAAAAACCACTAGAGTTCACTCAAAATGCTTGATCCAAGAAACGTGAATACACAAGGGTGTAATGATGGGTAATTTCATGATTTATTGAACTTGCAGCCTAACTTTTACCTACCATTTTACTACCAACACCACTGAAGGAACCAAGAAAAGCTTTATTAATGATCACTTGGCTTGCGCCTCAGCTGTTGAAATGAAGCACTTTACAGTCTTTGTGGCAGCAGAATATACTTGTCCATGGTTCATATCAATGCTAAAATTCCAGCAGGGAAAAAAATGATATGTTAAGCACCTGAATCTTCATAAGGGGGGGGGGTGGGAAAGAAGGAAAAAAAGGGGGGAAAAAAACAACCAAAATATTAAGTAAATGACAGATTGGAAAACAGGGTTTATAAGATTATTCTCTTGAGTTTATAAATTGTTAAACTCAAATTTATAGCTATGTTAAACTACGTAAGAACCACTATACTGAAAGACCATTGAAGAGTAGTATTAGTTTATCTTTTGGGGAGGAAAATTAAGAAAGGAAAAGTAAATTAAGATCTTACCTAAAGAAGTTTAACTGAAGCTTAGAACTATTTTGCTCTACACCCTCAGCTTTCGTTGTCATCCTTATAAACTACTGTAGTTTAAAGCTTTGCAGAAACAGCACAGTTTTTTAAGACTGGCTGAACTTAGTAGCCGTCAAGAGTTCTCTTGTACTAGACCTGTATCCCTGAAGAGTACCTCGCTGGGGTTATTTCCTTTCCTTGCATTGAAGAAGCAGCATCTAAAAGATCTAAAAAGGTGTTTCTCTTTGCAGAGATATCCCTTAAGTTATCTAGATAATTTAATCCTGATGAATTGCAGACAACACACTTATATCTGACCAGCATTTATCTTACACAAATATAACAACAGCTTTGCAACGGACCTTAATTATACTACCCACTCCTTAACTTATTTAAAATAAAAAGTCTATAATTACACAATTTCCTTTAGAATTATTTTATTAAATCATAAATGTACAACAGCTTCTTAACTCTACACACGCACTTAAATTTTTTTAAAGGAAAAACGTTATGTCTTATTACACCATGATCCTGGCTAATAGCTTTTCAAAACTTTGAGAAAAATCTTAAAAAAGGTTTCACATGTCACCTGAAACTTACAAATTTAACATTATCAAAGAAGGAATGCTTCTACACTCTTACAAAGACCACTAGAAAGAAACAACAATTAAAAAGCTAAGAAACTGTCTCAAAGGCATTTTTTTTTTTTTACAATCCTTCCTCCACAGTAAGGTAATGTTATTAAATAATCCAATCCATTCACAAAATGGCTCTCTGCATCTGCTCTGGTGTCTTCTGCCATATCACTGCATATTTATGCATGACTGAGATAAGAGTTTCCTTAACATTGTTATTTCGATAACCTGAAGCTGTTCTGTTACCTCTGGGCTCTCATCCTCTCCTATTTATACAGTGAAGCCTGTTTCAACAGAAGTAAAGAGTAAAAAAAAAATAGGTTATGAAATTATCCATCTAACCAGATTTTAAGGAAAGATAACATGATCCTAAAAAGCTTTTACTCCTGGCAGCTAGATCTCCCAAGATAATAATAATGTAAAACTCAAAAGCTACTTACCCATGGCAAATAGGAAGAAGCTCAGTATCGGCTTCTCCCTCCATAACCCCCACTTCCTCCACTGCCTCCAGGACCATAGTTTCCTAGAATTATTGAAACAGCAAGAGAAAGCAAACTTATTTCCAATTTCCATAATAAGCCTAATACTATCTATAGCTAGACATAACCCTCCTTGAAACACAGCTCATAACCTATTATTTGCTTATGGTTAGCCTACAACCTGGGAGATGAATTACCCCAGACTTACGAAGTTTAATTTTTCCCTTTACACTTGAAAACATCTTACTGCTGCTATTCCTTAATAGAGCTGTCAGTATAGGGTTAAGAAAAGGTATTCCAAACATAAGAGACATAAAAACATTGGTTTAGTACTACAACTGTCTCCAAACCTTAAATAATACTTTTAGTAAGTAATCCCAAGTTTTTATTCAATTAATTTTCAAAGAGAATTCCTAGAACTTTATACAACTTATAATGTGCTCAATCTTCTTTGGCTTTTTCATAGGAAATAATTAGCCAAAAAAAAAAAGATCCCCACCTGAAGTGCCCAACCCACTTTCCCAAGTCCAAAATATTTATACCACTAACATCCCACCATTTAATACTGAATTACAATATAAGTATTACTCAAACTAACAACCAGATATCTTCATTCTTAGTCATGAAAGTATCCTTTAATCACAAAATGTAAACAATCTAACAAATTACCTCCACCATATGGTCCCCCCATGTTCCTGCTACCACCAAAGTTTCCACTCTTCATTGGACCATAGTTAGAGGGTTGCTGGTTATAATTTCCAAAATCATTGTAATTTCCACTTCCATAATTTCCTGTGAAAAAATTTGAATAGGTTTTGCACAATGACCTTCAAAATAACATATTCAAGCATTAAACCAGTGAAACATGGTAAGCATATTAAGAACAAATCTCCCAGAAAAACAATCATCAGAATAAATGCAAGACCCCTATCTACAACTCTACAGTTTTTTTAAGACAACTACTGACAACATTGTAATGCAAAATCTCATGTGTTAAAAGTCATTAATTCCAATCCAAATTCCCACATAAAGGTTGCAGGTGAATTTATTACCTCCTCCATAGTTGTCATAACCACCTCCGTAGCCCCCACCCTGGTTGCCATATCCAGGTCCTCCACCACCATATCCTCCTCTTCCTCCTCCATAACCAGGGCTACCTCCAAAATTGCCACCTATTATAAAATAAGCCTTTAAGTAATTACTTAATATTTTCAATGGCATTTGAACTGTCTTATCACACCCATTTTCAGCTTTCCAAAACACATTCTTATAAACAAAGTACTTATTTTATGAAATCTCTTCCTTAACAGCCTCAAGGGCAGAACAGAGTACCTATCCCTGGTAAACATTTAGGGGCAGGGAGCACGTGTTCACAAACTGGATAAAAACCTTTACAGAGACAAATACTTGCAATGCCACAGCTCTCCCCTGACAGCAAAAACATTAAGATTCTCTTGAAGATCTCCTGAAACACTTATATTTTGCCTAAGGATTGTGGGAGCAGACAAGAGGCACAGGGTAGCAGGACCAAAAAAAAAGCCACATACCCCTACTGGTCCAAAAGATGAAGTTCCAAGAAGTTGTTTCCCCATAAATTCCCATGTCTCTTAAATAATATGCCCACTACACCCGTTTTCTGAGTAGAAATGGGGGGAGGACCAGAAATTAGCAAACTTGAATGTAATTCAGAAACTTAAAATGGCAGTCTCCCAATTACTGAAATACAAGAACTCATCTTTCTCATAATACCAAATTAGAATTTGGATTTCAAAGCAAAACTGATGTGGTTGGGATATAGGATTAACTTAACCGGACTAAAGGAGTGGCAAAACCAGCAATCAGGTCTATTACTAGCTCACCATTTTTAATATCCCATTCTTAATAGGACATTTATCAGTAAGCATGTAAACTTTTCTGTACTCCAACAGGACATACATCTAATACATCACTTGTTATGGAACAGTGGATCACAACTTGAGCTGGTCCCAAGAACACAACTCTACAATTGTGTATTTTAGGAAGTTCTTTCAGTTACTTTTTAAAATAAATTAGCGTGGGGGATTTATCCTGCTAAGGGACTAATTTTAAGATAAACAACTGATCTTACATATACCCCTCCCCTTACATGTTGACCACGATTATTACATCCAGTGGTCTGTTTTTCAGGAAAACAGCATACGGAATACATCTAGATCTGATTCTTTGCTTAAGAAACAATGGGATAGCGTTAACAGCAGAATCTTAAAAGCTCTCTATTAAAATCTTCCTAAAGGATTTTGCAACTGGTATTTAACACGTATAAGCAAATAATACTTTCTATAAGATATACAACTAAAATGCAAATTATAAAGGAAGAGCCAAATAACTGAACCAGTACCACCTTAGTCCTTTACAAAGGATAAAATGCACATTAAAAATTGATGTATAATATGCAACTATACCAATATATTTTGCTTAAATTTTTAAATCACCAACTAAAATGCGGCAGAAACTGACCTCCAGGTCCTCCTCCATACCCATTATAGCCATCCCCAAATCCACGACCACTTCCATATCCATCTGTTAGAGACAGAAGAAAAGTTATACTCTGTTCACCCTGGTTTTAATTTCTTACCCTTTCCTCTGCATTATTAATACCTCCGAATGAAAATTATTAAGAACACCCTCTTTGTGCTAGAAAAGTACTGTTACTAATTTCTTTAAAGACAAAGGTGTATACAAACAAATCTCCTAAGGCAATTGTCTAATTTGTGGGCTTAGACTTGGCAAGACTTAATTTTAAGAGATCCCATTTATTTATGCGTAAGATCACTTGTTGGCCTTTTGGCTAAGATCAAGTTATTTATGCTTAAGAATGAGATTCTTGATTATTAGTAATTCAAATACATCTGAAGTCTAAAAGAAAAAAATACATTAACTGAGACAGACCTTTTAAAGCCTACAAACAAACTCTCTACAGGTCTTCACTTCCCACTCAGGAGCACACCCATTTTTTTAAAGCTAGTTTCAAATCACAAAACTTTTTTTTTTTTTTTTTTAAGTGTACTACCCTAAAAAAGGATCTCTGCAATTGATTTGTCTTGGATTACATTTTTAAGATTACGTTTTTAACTATAACCTCCTACCTGGCAAATTTAAAATATTCCACCAGGATACAATCTACTTAAGTCTTAAAAAAACTTTAAAAAATTGAACTGCATTTCCTTTAATTCAAACTAAATGAGTTTTTAATTTAGCATATATACCCTTATAACATTTAGAACTCAAACTTACCAGATCCTCCTCTAAAGTTACTTCCTGGTCCTGGCCCAAAATTTCCACCACCACCACGAGAATCTCCAAAACCAAAGTTACCTGTAGTAAGTGGCCAGGTTAGTAACAAGCATTTATTCAAGTAAGTTTTAAAAGGAAAAATAAACACGAGTTAAAAGTTACCTCCTCTTCCACTTCTAGAACTTTGGACTTCCTGCATTTCTTGTCTGGACAGAGCCTTTCGTACTTCTGCATTATGACCATTGATGGTATGATATTTCTGCACTGAAATGAAGAGTTCACACTCCATTATGTAAAAATTCTTTTATCAGGACACAACCTGTACAATCCACCCTTTAATAAAATTAACAAACCCAAAACCTTGTATGTAAAGAACACAACCTACTGCTTATAGACACTTACACACGATCTTATCCACAGGATCATGATCATCAAAAGTAACAAATCCAAAGCCTCTTTTCTTTCCAGACTGTCTATCAGTAATTATCTCAATGGTATCAATCTTTCCATATTCCTCAAAATAATCTCTAAGATGATGTTCCTCAGTATCTTCTTTAATCCCACCAACAAACAGCTTCTTCACAGTTACATGAGCCCCCGGTTTTCCAGATTCCTGAAATAATGGGAGAAAAAAAAATCTTAAACCAAAACACGATTTAAAGCACACTATCTGGGAGACAAATACAGCCTTTATTCTACGATAATGCACCAGATAAAGCAACATCTTACAACTAAGAACCCAGTTTTTTTTTTTGGGGGGGGGGAATAAATGTAAATCTAAGAAAAGCAAAGAGCAGAAAACTGACAGAGCTTGTAAAGATCCAAAACTTAATTCTTTCATAAGTTAGTCTAATCTTCAGTGGGACAGAATATTCTTTGTATTAACAGTACAGTTATATTTTGCTCACCTCTCTTGCAACAGCACGTTTTGGCTCAACCACTCTCCCATCAATTGAATGAGGTCTTGCAGCCATGGCAGCATCAACCTCAGCCATGGATGAAAAAGTTACAAAGCCAAATCCTCTTGATCTTTTGCTTGCAGGATCCCTCATAACCTTAAAACCAAAGGGGAAACTTTAGCCCCTCATTTCATTACTTATGTTATGAACTAACAATTTAAAAGACTAGTAGTTTTCCCAATGAACAGACATCAAAATAATTTTCTCTGTATTTTACTCAACGTCTTAAACACAGTAACCGAACAGTTTAAAGACTAGCATCTGCAGGCGCTTTTCCATAACGTACCACACAGTCTGTAAGTTTCCCCCATTGCTCGTAGTAATTCCTCAAACTTTCTTCTGTGGTTTCAAAGCTCAAGCCACCAATAAAGAGTTTACGGAACTGTTCCTTTTCTCTCTGCAAAGGAGAACACCATTTCAATTTTTATTTACATTTCCTCTTTGTATGCAGGAAATTAAATTCTTAAATATGAGGTGACCTGCTGGCAGAGTACCTTTTTCCTCTCCAAAGGAACAGTTTCTAAAGTTTTCTGGGGGGGGAAAAAAAAAACTTACATCAAATTTAAACCATATGTTAAACTGCATATTAGTTGTGTTACACCAAAAAAATTGCCCCAGCTGATCTACACAAGTTTCAAAATCATTAATGCTCGATCTAAATTTACATGACATTAAATATTTTGAATAAATTTAACATCCCTTTATCTTAAAACTTTCTGAAAAGAGGAATAAACCTATTCTCTGGTCATTGAAGGTTTAAAGGACTTTTATCAAAATCTGCATTCAATCCTATTGCCCAAAACAAAGAAATTGGCTTTTAAATATGCATTGAAAATATACCGCTTAATACAAAAACTGTTGTCTACTTATAACCCATAATTTACCATTTCAGGATTCAGTGTCTAAACAGTCACATTTCTTTTTTCTGCTCCCTCTGGTGGTGATTCTAATGCATCGCAATTGGGGGGGGGGGAACCCACCAAGAAAAATCTTTACCCATATATCAATTCTCCATGAAGGACTGGGGTGGGGGGGAATGGATGACAAAAAAAAACATTCAATGTATGTACCAAAACATCCTAATAAAATCTGCCCCCCCCTTTGACCAAGGCACAAATAACTTATGACCAATGCTGGATATTCATAGCTTCAATAGTTTTTAACCTACCTGGGGTTTTTGTGGGCTTATTTGTATTTGGTATTGACAGGACACAGAACAATCTAAATTATTACTGAACCATTAGTGCAGTAAACTGTTTGCTGTAATCTAACCTTTCAAAAACCATAAAACTTTAAATGATCGCTGTTAACTACTCAGTAGTTTTGTACTGCTACGATTTACACTTCAGGGAAGGGAGGGAACAAAACCAACCACCCACAAAAACTCAGGTGTACTGGCCCTACTGGCCATCTGGCAAAATACACAACACAAATGTCTCTAATTTTACAAGTGTGTTGGGGGGGGGGGGAAGACAGGGGACATGGGTAAAAAAAATTCTAAGCACTCTAAGCCACCAAGCAAATACGTTGCATTAACAGCCCTGTATTTTTGGCTGTCAGTTAAGAAAAAAAAAAAAAAGTTATACTGTGTTTTCAGAAAACTAGGTTAAAGAATTAAAATATTCAAAAACCAGAACAGGTCATAATGTCCAGGAGCAACTATTATTAGTGTATAAGACAAATCAAAGGTCAAATATAACTTCCCATATAAAAGAGTATTATCAGCAAATAATATTACACCTCTCTCAGTTCTATGGAGGTATCTCCCTCCATGCATGAATTTCCAAACAGCTCAAAAAACAGTGATAAGCATTTAATATTTTTTTCCCTGCAGTTCTCAGAATTGTGAAAAAATCTGAAAGGTGAAAAAACTATGAAGCTCCCAAAATACTCAACTCGTTAAGCGATTATCTGACATACTGGTATTTAAATTAGGATTTATCTAATTAGCGTTAAGTCGGTCTTTTTACAGGTCTTTTACAATCCACATTTACGCAGTTAAAAAAAATAAAGCATTTACAATAATTCTTACACATCACTAACAAAAGGCAAAAACTCATTACTTACCTCAATTTTTTCCAAACTTACCCGATGTCCACTATCGATTACAAACAAAGTTATTTTATAAGTGTGCTTAAGGTCAAAGAAAATACCCAATCAGGCCCCCTTCGCTTGAGACCTTATTCTTACAATGATCAACCATCATAGCAAACATAGATGAAAAAAGCAAATGACAAAGTTCAAATACATAATGGCCCAGCCGTTAACTCGTAACGAAGGATTGAACCACGTTTTAACCAAAGAACCGAAGATAAAAATTTTCACTTTCCTCTTATTCCTACCGTAACTCAAGAACCTCTGGTATTACCCAATAAAGACTGTTTCCCAGCAAAAATATTAAAATACGAGTAATTCTACAGTTCAAAAGAAATCTCTCAGGAAAATAATTGTGAAACCGACACCCCCCCCCCACCTTCCCCACTGCCACCCAGTCGGTACTAACTTAATGGCTCCCAATTTTTATTTCTAAAGTTTTCTGCGATTCGACTAGCTTTTTAATCACGGCAAACCCAGATAATACTGTTAAAAGAAAAGAAAAAAAGGTGGGGGGACTCCCCACGACAGTTGAAAAGCAAAATGTTCTTTGTAGTACGGCTCGACTTAAAACTGGGCCCAACACCCTGGGTGGTAGTTTTACCTCCTCCTCTTAAACCGTGTGAACCAGCCCCGGGGAACCGACTCCCCCACCCGCCCGCTCTTCGGTGTGGCTTCTGAACGCAATGGCGCCATTTCATCGAGGGGAAGGGAAAGGGACTCTAACGAGGTGCGCAGGACTTTTAAAGATCCAAGCTCACAAAACACTCGGAATCCACCTCGAGACGGCATGAAAACAGCCCGAAAAGAAAGAAAATTAGTTAACCACTTCTGTTCTTCGTTAAAGGGGTCAAATTAGCAGAATCCAGAGATTGAAAAGAAAAACGCCGCGAGGAAGGAAAGGAATGAAAATGGCGGCCGCCAAATCCGGTTCCCGGGAGAGGGGAGGGGGAGGGGAAGCTCCGCAGCCTCGCTCAGGAGGATCCGAAGCCCGCCGAAAAGCTCAGATGCGGGGACGCCAGGCCCCCCAAATAAGCGTGCTTTGAAAAGGGAGTAAGAATTCCCGCCTCCGCGCCCCACTTTTCGCCGAAGGAGGGCTGCGTCCGCCATGTGGAAGTTCCCCATCCCCCACCCCCAGCAAAGGGAAATGGCGCCGGCAGGCTGAGGGTGGGGAAGGTACGGTTCAATCAGGCCTCCGCTAACGAACCGTCTTCAAAAATATGCTGAAGCCAACCGCTTTTGAAGCGGCCCTATTTCACCAACGCTCTCAGACGGAGACGGGTGGCCGACTTCTACCGAGGCGCCAACGGCCTCGCCATGCCCTTTTCAATAACTCATTGATTTCAAACCCGTTACCTCCATCGCGGACTCAGTCGCTTCAGCCCGATTTCCCGCAGCCGAGCGAGATGAGAGAGATCTCCGCGGACGAACACGAACCGGACTCGTCCTGGCGCTGTAGTGAGCACTGCCGCTGCTCGAGAAACAACACCGCTAAGAGCACCTCCACACGGGACTCGGCGCTGCTGCTACTGCCGCTAGAGCCGCTGCCGCCGCTTTTCTAGAACCTTCCCCCCGACTAACGCGTCTTCCCCTACGTCAGGCCGTTGCGTAAACGCCCTAACCGCCGCCAATGGCGGGAACGCTGTACGCCCTCCTTACGCCAGATACGTACTCCTCCCCCCCTTACAGCCAGTAATAGTGCGTGACGTCACTTGCGTAAATGATCTCAGTGAATTGCGGAAGGCTCGAGTCCTGCGTATTTCTCTCTCAGGGAATTGGGTCCAGCCCCCGCCTTAGCGCAGGGCAGGTGAAAAACGGTCGCGCAGTTTGAAATTAACGCTGTCGGGAGGAGCTTAAAGCACAGTCCTAAAGTCCAGCCCCCTCAACCTAGGAGGTGGTCCCCGCCGCAAAGCCTCTGATAATCCGTGCCTCCCGCGCCCCGCCCCTGATCTCCCGCCAGAATAATCTTAGCAGCCTCCCCCCTCCCCCGCGATTTCCCTCCCTTAACTCTCCACCCGCGCTGAGGACTGACTCGGCCCCTTCCGGAAACACCCGAGACTCCTAGTCAACACGTTACACTTCCCGCTCCACCAACCTATTTCTGACCAACGTTTTTGGGAGTCGACCCCTCGGGTTCAAGAGAGGTCTTTGGAAAGAGTGGTCTGAGAGGGGCACTCCTTCTTAGCTCCCAATTCTCCCCAACCAAGTTTCTCTTCACTCCCTCACCCCTGGCGTTTGGAGGCACCCACTCCTAGGGGCGAGAAGTGGGCGGAGCCCGGTTTTGGCGCCAGGCACTGCTGCTGCGAAGCAGAAACGCCTCCGTCTAGAAGATCAGTTACTGTCCTCGCCTCTACTTCCCTTTCCCTCCCCTCCGGGGACCACCAGGCGCCACGCCGCGAACGGTAAGTGCAGCGCCACCGCAGCCTTCCACCTGCCCCGGGCTCGGGTTCCCGGCGGGCGCGGCGCACGGCCCCTCCCCCAGCCGGGCGCGCGCACCCGCCCGCCCGCCCCGCCCCTCGCGGCCGCCCGGCGTGGGCGGTGCCACCACCACCCCCCCTCCAGCGGCTGCCCGGCGCGCAGCTCCCCAGCCCCCTCCCCCTCGGATGTGGCTGGAGCTTGAGGCGCGCAGGGCCGGAGACGCCGCAGACCCGGGACCCGGAGCAGCTCGGAGGCGGTGAAGTCGGTGTCTTTCTTTCTCTCTCTCTCTCTTTTCTCGGTGGTGGTGCCTAAAATACCACCTGCGCCCCAGGGATCCCCGCCACCCAGCTCCCCGCTTTCCGCCCTTCCCCACCCGACCCCGAGTGGGGAGCTGGCGGGAAGCAGCGATGAGTCGAGCGGAGACCCCGCGGCGGGCCTGGCGCTGGGCCGGCGCCTGGAGTTAGTGGTGGGGGAGGGGGAGAGCGAGACTGTCCTAGAGAGGGTAGAGAGCCGTGGCGACAGCTGCCTTATTTCTAGACAAAGCGCATTTCCTTTTCCCCTCCCCCATCCGCGATCAAGATGAGGGGCCCTCCTCCCCCTCACGGCCTGGGTCGGCGACTGGGGCCTCTAGTGAGGGCGGTGCGTTCTCCCGCATCAGCGCGGCCCGCTGTTCCGAGGCTGCGGCGGGCGCTCCGTTACGTGGCTACCGCCGGGTGGGGAAGAACGCGGGCCCGGTGGTGCAGTGCCCTTGAGCCCCCGGGCCGCGGCCTTTGTTTCTCCCCGCGGATGGGCTGACCACGAGGCCCGCGCTCCTGGGTGGGGGGCAGGGGCCGGGTGTTTAGGCCTCGCTAAGCAGGGTGGGGCTTATGGGGAGCGGATAGAATAGGTAGTTTGTTTTTTGAAAGTGGCATGAAATGGGACTGAAGCATCTCGATATGGTGTTTTTCCTTTTTCAGTTTTTAAACTAGCGATTAGAAAGGGGCAGGGTTTCTAAGAAACCAAGTTGGGGTTATATAGGCGCCTCTTTGGACTGTTTAAAGGTCTAAAGGGAAAATTCACAATAATGTATCATTGTAATTGGGTGGTCACGTTGAATTTGAACCAAATTATTTGGCCATTTTCTTAAAAAGGCTGGGTATGACATAAATTGGATTTAAATTGGGAAAAAAAATTGTGCTCTTTTTATCCTTTGTAAAACTATCTCAGATATTAGGTACCCAATAAGGTTTTCTAGACCCACCTGGTTAGAGCACTGATGTACTCAGTAAGGATAGATCCCTAATAACGCAGGATCTCAAACCTGCATCTCTGGATTTGAGTACAAGTTTTACAGTATACGATACATAGGTGGGGGTTGGAATCCAAACAAAACTTGTGTTTAGCTACCTTATTAATTCTGTCATGCAAACTTCTTAACTGTCATGCATTTTTCTAGTAATAGCTCTTCAAGTCTGCAATAAAAAATGGCCTCCAATAAAACTACATTGGTAAGTTAATGAAAACCTAAAATATGTAAGGATCTAACTCAAATTTTTTTCCCCAAAATTATAACTTAGCATCTCTGTAGTTGAGATATTTACATCCACATGTATTTCCCAGTTCCCCTCCCCCCCCCAGTGTTGTAATGGGGAGAGTTAGAGGCGAAAATGAAATCATTACATTGAGATACTTACTGACTTGGCTTAATAGTGTCTTAATCCAATTAGAGAAACCTAAACTTGGGAGGATAGCACAATGAGTTTTATAAATACTCTTAAAAGTATTTTTATCTTGAAATAAAAACAAACTTTTGCAACATGGAAGGAGCATTAATAGACAATGCTTGTTTGGCGTAACAGTTCCTAACTCACCCTATGATGAATTCTAGAGAAACCAGGTATTTTCAGTATTGCTTAAAGAACAAGTACCTTATACACCTTGATTAGAACAAAGGTCATTCAATTACTTTGCTCATGTTGTCTCGTTTCAGACTTATTCTAAAATACATAAACCCCTTAAATTCAAATCATTGCTATTTTTTTAAAAATACAAAATAAACAAAATCAAATCTGTGTCCAGGAAGACTAGATCTGGATCTTTTGAGCAATTAAATTGTTTCTCCCACTTTCTTAAACCCTAAGTTTGCATTCTTGACATTTTATTAAAAGTTCTGTGAATATGTAAAGACTTAATGTATGTTCAGGCATATCAACTTAGATTTTTTGAAAACGCTGAAATACATAAAAATTGTGAAATTCAAAGTTAATGTTCTCACAGTAATTCTAACACATTTCACCAATAACTGCAATCATATTAAAGGCCAGTATTAACATCTAAATAAAGCAAAAGATTTGGGTTTTAGTTTGTATATTCTCCCCTTGGGTTTCACATTAAAGACAAGTTTGGTTTTCACTTTTTGCCATCATAATGTTGCACATTTTACTCAAATATCCTGGGAAACATTGAAATAAGAAACAAAGTCTGTGGCACAGATGATTCCCAGCAAAGCCATCAGTGGAAAATGCACAAAGCATGTTCTGTGCTCCCTCAGGATTGAACTGTACTTCAGATTTCATAAGCAGTAAACCAAAGTGTAGATGATTGAATTGACTATATGGTTACCTGTGACCTTCAGGTATTGGAAGAAGGAACTAGTTGTCCCTGCGGCTTTGAGGATGAATAGAGATACAGAAAGCAAACATAGATGCTTCTGTTGCTTTGGCAGACAGTTTTGATAGTCTTCAGTGTCCATAACTAAGTGACACTTAAATATCTGATCCTTTGTTAAAGGCTCATAAATTGACAACTTTGAAAGCTTTTCTTAATCTACCTTTGAATTTTGAGAGGTGAGGTGTGTTAGGTTAGGTGGGAATGTGGGTGAGTTTTTTGAAAAGAAAAAGGTGAACACTTGTAACTAGCTTGTGAGTGCTGTGGTAAATACTTCATATTTTTGTGCTAAGGTTTTTTAATCTTAGTGTTTATTCTTTTCACTTTGTGTTTATTTTTGTTATTCTCTTTATTCTATTAATCTCTTACTTTCATGAACATAGTTAATTTGTTTATCACTTAGGATCAGCATCGAATAGGCTTTTATCTACAACAGTTTTTCTTTTCTCTTGCTACCATTCCTTGTACTGTACAGAAGCAAAGAGCTCTCTGACTGGTTGCAATACCCAAGTGTCTTGACTAATGAAAATTATAAGAAGAAAGAAAATTGTAAAGCCTAACTTGGAGATGGTATCCAACAAAATCAGATGTTTGCTGGGTTATTTTAAATTCTAGAGAATTTTTACTTTTTATAAGTGTGTACACCTCTCAATAATTACATAATTTTAATGTCCTTTTGCAATATTGAGTCACTGCTGTTGTTACTTTTCTGCTTGTATGATTTTAATGACTAGGCAATTGAGATTTTTTTTAATAACGCCACTGAAATTATTTTAAAATTAACAGAGATATCCCCCCTTAGTCTCTTCTAATTAACCATTTCAGGTTTTTGTTTTATCTGCTTTCAATTGATAACATGAGTTACTGGGAAATACTGATTTTAGCTTGGTCTTTGGCTTTTCTCATAGTGTTAATACAAAAAAGAAAAAACTAATCTTAAAAATTTGTTTATAAAGTGAATTTCCTGGGCTACCTTTTAACACCTGAGAAACCAAGAAAGAAGGATTTTACATTAGAGAATTAAAATCCAGTATTTTGGCCTCTTCAAGTGACAACATTATAATTTTGTTCCATGTGATCTACAATAATATATACAGACATTATGGAACAATAATAGTGTCCTTTTTAACTTATTAGTGGTCTTCTTAGTTCACTCTACAGTTGATGTCAGGATCCTGCACTTATCTCTTTCTGTATAATTGAGACTTTTGACATTGGTATTGAGTATTGAGAAATTGGTATTGGTATTGAGAAATAGGATTGTTAGTGTTTGGAGGCTATGGTTTTTTAATGGGACTATGGTTCACTTAATAAGGTCTCTTATTAGTATTTATTCTCTTTGTACCATTGTCTAATACTTTCTAGTTGTTTGTTGCTGTGTTGTAGTTAAAATGAGTGCAAACTCTAATAAATAAATTTGGTCTTGTAGACTAGGTAAGGCATTAGATTTGGAAAAGATAAATAGTATTTTCCACATAGTGTTTTTGATTATTTTTATTATTTCAGCCATGAGGATGGGTGATAGGTTTGAGCTAAAGTGGAATTAAGTATTCTTTTTGATTATCTATTGACTTTTATCTTTTCAGAATGTGTCTGCCCTGGGATATAGAAGTAAAAATATAGCTATCAGATGCAACGATAATGTAAATAATTTAGTCTTTAAGATATACCAAAAAATGAAAAAAGATGTTTCTTAGGTCTTTTTTGTTTTATTTTAGCAAAAAATGGGAAAGAAACAGAATGGAAAGAGTAAAAAAGTAGAAGAGGCAGAGCCTGAAGAATTTGTGGTGGAAAAAGTACTGGACCGACGTGTAGTGAATGGGAAGGTGGAGTATTTCCTGAAGTGGAAGGGTTTTACAGAGTAAGAAATCTGGTGCTTTTATTATATGTTTAACTGCATCAAAGTGACATTTAAAATTTGCTTTTAGTCTGGGTTTTTAAAATCCGTTTTCTCATAGATTTCTTTACATGTAAAGACACCTTTAATCCAAGGTACTTTGAGATCTGTTTAAAAAGTCACATCTTGTACCCTTGGGACAAATAATACATTACATGTTAATTCTAAAAAAATTTTTAAAATAATAAAAAGTCATGTTTTTAGCCTACAGTCATAACCAATCAGATTTGAAATTAGTTGATTGCCTTGGAGAATCAAATTTATAGGAGTGCAGTTTATTATATAGTACATTTTAGTGTAGTTAGATATTGTACTGATTAGAATATTTAATGGACATTGTTTTCTTACAGAGGACACTAAAAATATTGAAGCTATATATAAAGTAGACTGGTGGGTGTTGAACAGAAGTGCTTATCATCCATGACTTAGACCAGGCAGTAGGTTTACTGTATCCTAATCTCCTAAGAAGTGGTATGGGCATTTTTTAAGCTCCTTAGTTCTTTATGTTCCTTGTTACTAATTGCTCTTACAATTATTATGATGTTAGCTGTATTGTGAATAACTCGTGCAGAAATTCCAGTCTTAACATTTATCGTGTGCTAAATCTACTTTGATTTTTCTGCCTTATACCACAAAAACAGCAAGGCTCTGTGGTCAGTGACTTATTGAAAATGGATAGGTAGAGATAGACAACAGTTTTCTGAGCATGGCAGAGATGGGAGAATGTGCTAGTCAAATATTTAGGCTTTGAATATCTGTTACCTACTACATGCCCCACCATTTACATTTAAAGATGTCTCCATAGCAATTTGGGGATTACAAGTTGAGGGGAAGTTTTAAGATTCTTTATTTTATCCTTCTAATATCCTTAGTTGAGCTTAAATACTGTGTAAGTTCATATTTGCCACTAGAAAAATTTACTACAGATAGCAGAACAAAGCAAAATAAGTCCTGAGCTATTCTAAAATTAGATTTAGCTAGTATGCCAAAAAATTTATTATCATCATATGATAGGTTTTTTGTTGTTTGTTTTGGAATCTCATGAGACATTAAATGCTATTTGTCTTTGTCTAGCCCATAAAATGCTGAGGAACTTAACTTCTTGTCTCCCTCTTTTTCTCAAACTTAAGGCCATTAGTTTGGCTAAGAACCTACTATCTGCAGTACAATGTATTAGGTAATATAGAAGTCTGTAATGAAGGTAACACTACAGAATGGAGGCTCTGCTTCAACTCTTTTGTCCTCTATCCTCTGATTCAGGTTTGCCAGTTTTAGCATCTTAGCATATCAGAAGACCCAAGCTGTAACCAGAAGTTAACTACCTTTCTTTTCCATCGTCTCTAAAATGATTAATTTCATTATATCTTGTTCTGTAAAGGCTTTCTGGATCACAGTACACAAAGTTAGCAAGCCTACAGGGCACCTGGCTGGCTCAGTTAAGTAAAGCATGTAGTTCTTGATCTTGGGAGTAGTGAGTTCGAGCTCCACATTGGCCAATAGAGTCTTTTAAAAAAAGTGAACAAGTACATCACTAGTGTAGGATTATCTGACATTCACGTTTGGTAATTGATACTCATTTTCTTTCCAGTCTCTCTGAAAAACACATGAAAATAGTCATCTCAGCATTATATCAGGGGTTGCCAAATTTTTTCCTTAAAGAATCATGTAGTAAATACTTACGCTTTGTAGGCTGTAGACCTCTTATAATTACTCAACTTTGCAAATATAGTACAAAAGCAGCAGTAGACAATTCGTTAAACAAATGAGGACAGCTTTGTTCTAATGAATGGGCCTTGATTTCCTGTAATTGTCATTTTGAAATTTTTTCCCAATTAAAAATGTGGAAAACATTTTTAGTTGCCCAAAATACAAAAGCTGCATTTGACTTTTGGGTTGCCAACACCTGCTTTTTATCATTGCCAAATTTGAGTACGCAGCAGAGGTTGAAAATACTGCCTCACGTATAGAATGCCTTAGAATTTTTGTGTTTTCAAACATGGTGTTGAAGGTCCCAACCGGAGGCATAATCTAACTGATCTGATAAAGTAATTTGAGGTGGGAATAGGGAATCAACATTTTTCAAAAGCCTTTGCAGAGAAATTCTGAAGTGGGTTGTCTATGTAACTGGGGAAAATATTAGTTCCAATTATTCTGCTAGAGCAGGTATAGTCAACTTGGAGGTAATACAGCGACTGTCCACTTACTAGAGGCTAAGAAAGTAGACCCAGGAAGTATAAGGAGATTTTCTCAAAAGAATGTGGGGATAGGGAGAAAATGGTAAGCATCTGCAGTATAGCAGACTTTTTTTTTTCAGATATATGTTAAATGAACATGGATAATGGTGATGAATCATATTTAATTGATTTTTTTTTTTTAAAACCAAACCCAGTGCTGACAATACTTGGGAACCTGAAGAAAATCTAGATTGTCCAGAGTTAATTGAAGCGTTTCTTAACTCTCAAAAAGCTGGTAAAGAAAAAGATGGTACAAAAAGAAAATCTTTATCTGACAGTGAATCTGATGATAGTAAATCAAAGAAGAAGAGAGATGCTGTAAGTATAAGATATTGCCCAGCAGACTGACTTGGTAAAAGGTTGATGGCTTGATTTTTAGAATGCATTTAAGATACTTTTAAAATTTCAAATATTTTAAATGCTTAATATTTAAGACAAAAAGGATAGGCATGATCTAGCCTCTACATCATATAAATGTTCAGTAATAAGTGCGTATACCACTTACATTGCTGTGCTAGTGTTATTTTGAGTAGATTCATAGATTTGATCCCTGATAAGAGCCATTTCCTGTGATCCAGGACTGGCAGTCTTAAATACGATGAACACAGAGATTATATCATTGCAGTCCCTTACAATATAGTAAAAACAATCCACATGGCACATCCTGATAGACCTTATAGATCCTTATAGACCACAGTGACATTGACCACCAGAACGTGCTTTCACATGTGACCTTTGTTTTTTCAGAATATTGCCAAACAACATTTTGATTTTGAAGTATATAAATCTTTAGTACTAGAAATTTTTAAAAAGTTTTTTTGGTGTGAATTGAGACAGCTGGTTCATTAACTACATGGGTATTTTGATCCAGTCTTTGCTTCACTAATGTGTGTGTGGCTTTGGGCAAAACACCTAACTACTTGCTTAAACCCTCAATTCCAAAACATTGTATTTCCCATGCCTGCTAGCAATTTGGGAAACGGTCTTGATTCTGAATTAGTATTTAGGCTTGGGAACTAAACATAAAATAAAGATTTATTGATAAGGTGTTTGGGTTTAAAATTGGATCATTTGAATTAGATGCCAAGTAGTTTACAGATAACCTGTTAAATCTTCATGGCAGATCTGCTAAGATTATAGGTATTATCCCCATTTTCCAGATGAGAAGCAGAGGTTGACTACAAATTTGGTTCTGGATGCTTTAGCAGCCAAAGCAAAAAGGTAACAGTGTTAAGAATCCATATGCGTAAATTGAAAGTCAACCATATATTCAACAGAAGCACTGTTTAGTAACAGTAGTTATCCTACACTGAGCTCTTACAGTGTGCCCAGCAGTGTTCTACATAACTTAATTTGCATTTTTTATACTACAAAATGTCTATGAGACCGATAGTATTGTTATTCCTATTTTATAGGTGATGAACCTGAACCACAGAGAGATTAACTTGCCCAAAGCTACACAGTTAGTACAGTTTGGAGTCATCATTCTAACTCACTCAGGTAGTCTGGCTCCAGAACCTGGGATATTGATAGAAAAGTCTGGTAGGGAGAAGGGATTTCTTAATCTAAGCAGTTCTCAAACTTTTTTGGTCTCAGAACTCCTTTAATACTCTAGAATTTTGAGAATGCCAGAGAACTTTTATTTACATGTGTTATGACCATCAATCCTAACTATGTTAGAAATTAAAACAAAGTTCTAAAACATTTGTATATTCAGTTAAGAAGGACAAAACCTATTGTATGTTCATAACTTACCATGAAAAATAACTTTAAATGAGAAGAATGGCATTTTACAGTTTTGCACATCTTTTCAGTGTCTTGCTTAAGACAGTTCTGCATTTGATTTGCTGTCTTAATGTTGTTTGGTGGAGGCATATGAAGGTACTCCAAAGTCAAAGATAAATGAAAGGGGGGGGGGTTACCTTGCAGATAAACAGACACCTACTAAAGGTCTCAGGGATCTCTAGGGGTCAAACCTGTGGTTTATGCTAGGTATTTTTTAATACTATAATGGAGATTGATGACAATACTGATCAGTCTGACTTTTGAAGTTTTTACTATTTTGCTATTTGTATTTTGTGTGTGTTTTAAAAATATGTGGATAATCTAAACAAATTCCTAAAAGTGATTTGGAATACTAACTAGAAAGAATTCATAATTATTGATGAGTTAGCAGAAATAAAGGGATTAATTTGTGTGCCTACACAGTTCTCTTTTTTGATGTATTAGGATAATGAAGGGTACTTGTTTTCTTGCCTCGAGATTCAGAATACTTTTAGATACCTGGATTTGTGTTTTAGTAGTAAATAAGGGTTCTTTCTCTTGTCATTTCTTTTCCACTTTCACTTGAAAGCTGTATTTCATGAAAACAAATAGGAAATTAATATTATTAGTTTGCAATATGGAAAGTGGGTGAAACATTTATGTAAATAGTCATTTAACATCTTTTAATCAGGCTGATAAACCAAGAGGCTTTGCCAGAGGTCTTGATCCTGAACGAATAATTGGTGCCACAGACAGCAGTGGAGAATTAATGTTTCTCATGAAATGGTAAGTGTGCAGGTGATTGCTATTATATTTTAAAGTGAGAGTAGATTATTTATTTTAATTTGTGGAGCCTTATCTAGAAAAGGTTCTATAGTTTTCCTCATTAGATAGTATCTGCTGAAAAGATGATTCTAGGATTTTTGTTTTTTGGGGCGTGGGGGGTGGTTGGTTTTGTTTGCTAATGGTGTTTTAAAGCAAAGATTGGCCTGTTTTGGAAAATGTAGTTTTACTGGAACACAGCCACGAATATCACATCCTTCTGAAGCACTTAAATACCTTTTGATTGAATTATGATTTAAGTGAAAGATTCTCAGTTGGCAAAAACAGTTGAGACTTTTGACTGAGCATTTTTTTTCCCTCACGACAGGAAAGATTCAGATGAGGCAGACTTGGTGCTGGCAAAAGAGGCAAACATGAAGTGTCCTCAAATTGTAATTGCTTTTTATGAAGAGAGACTAACTTGGCATTCTTGTCCAGAAGATGAAGCTCAATAATTGTTTGCATTGCTTTTTATATATATTTATATATATATATAAAATCTGGGTCTTTGTTTTTTGATTAGTGTGAAGAAATAACATTCTAATGAAAATCAAGTTTGATATGTTTGTTTTGAAGTAGTATTGGGGGAGTTGTTGGGGTTTTTGCATCTATAGCACTGGTTACTTTAAACAAATAAAAACTTTCTGTAGTTGCTTCCTTTATCAGAAAAGAATATTTGAGACCATGATATATTATCCCCCTGCATTAGAGAACCTTTTCTAAATGTTGGGGGAAATCTTCATAGTCTTTACTCAGTCAGAATTTGTGTTTAACTCCTATATGCCTAAGGACCATTCTGGGTTTTTTGTTTATTTAGGGGGTTTTTTGTGTGTATACTTAAAATACATACATAAGTGGTTTTTGTTTTTAACATTCACCAAAACAAAAACAGCATTTTATAACCATGGTTAAGCCCATGTTTCCGGGATGCTACCCTTTTCAGCATTTTAAGAAATAAATCACTTAAACTGAAGTTTTTCCTGAGGCCTTAACCTTTCAAATTTTGTAATTAATTGGACAATTTAAATATAATGTAAACAATTTAAATTGGACAATTTAAAAGCAGCCATATCAGAATCCATATCCTTCTCTACAGCCATATAAACGCAAGTTTATTTGCAAGATCCCTGAAAGGAAAATTTTATCACCACCACCAACCTCCCCACCCAAATGACAAAACTAGACAAGTCCTTGTGTATTTTACTTAGGTAAGCAATACTTTAGTTAAATGGACATTTAAAGGTTCCTTCTAGTGAACCATTCCTTTTTAAGAAGTTGAAATTCTCTGTGCTATATTGACTAAAAGGTCATGATTCGTGGACTGTCTACAGCTTCCTTCATGGAAACTAATTATAATCAGATGGTTAGAGATGTTGGCAGTTTAGCACCTGCTGGAGTAAATGGGTGGACAGGCTTCTATCATCCAAATTCTTCACCTGCATGTTTTTTCTTTACCCCAGTTCATTCCTGACATGTAGGCTCAGTCTTTTCAGTATTTGAGTTACTGGTTCAGCACAAACCAGGAAAAACAGTAACTTTGTAGTCAGAATGTTATCCAACTGTATATTGTTTACTTTATTGTAAATACTGGTAAACAGTGGTCAATAAATAGTTTTATATTCCTTTATGTGATTAGACTTTTTATTAATTTGATTTTCTAGTGGGAATAGACACATACCTTAGAATCCTGTTCATGTTTATAAATAATACTAAAGCATTAGAGTACATGTCTTAGATCTTTGAGCTGAGGAGTTTCAAACTTACTAGTAGATGTATTTCCACAAAAATGAAAATTGGTTTTTTGGGGTGCCTAAGAGGAATCTGCTTCATTAAAATGAAATTTTGATACTTAGAATCTAGTTCGTTGAAACTGCTGTCTGAAAAAGTTATGATAGGATAGATCCTGTTGCGAGAGACAGATTTCTACTAATCTTCAAAATTCATACAGAGAAAAGGAAATCATTTTGCCGTATATCTAAATATTTAATTATGTTGTATATCTGAAACTGATAGGTTATATGTTAAGTTATACCTCAATTAAAAAACAATTTTTTAAATCCTATCTATACTAGGCTATTTATTACTTGTCTCTTTATGTACCTAGCACTACTCTCAACAGTGGGTTCATAGGTGGTACCAAATTCCCTGTTGATACTCCCTGTATTAAACTTCAGCAAGGGAATTTCTGGAGACCGTATTGTCCACATACTACTTTTATTACCCCTTATTACGTTGTATGTTTCTTTTTGGTGCTGTAAAAAATTGCTTCATGTTTAATGGCTTAAAATAGCATAAATTTACTATCCGTTCTGGAGGTCAGAACTCTAATTTGTCTCATTGACCTGAAAAGGTATATGCAGGGCCACTGGTTCCTTCTCGGGGCTCTAATGGTAAAATCTGTTTCCTTGTCTTATTTTCAGTAGCATAGCCACCTGCTGTATAATGGTTCCCCAACTTAACCAACCACTGTAGGTAGGTTAGGTTGTCATTTTTTTGCTATCAATGTAGTGAATGTTCTTATATATAATGTGTAGTTACACTTAAGTAGATAGAGGCTACCATGTATTACTGAAGTCAAGCTTGCAGTGATTCTCTCTCCCCATTGGTCACCATTATCCTATAATCCCACTTGTACTGTAAATTAATAATACTGACCTTTTTTTTTTTTAGCCAGTCTGATGGTTTTATGTTTTAATTTGGCATGTCTATGATCTTTTCTGAGCATTCTGTTAATGCTTAATGGCTATTTGCATTTCCTCATCTATAAACTGCCAATTTTACAAAAATTTTTAATTGGCACTTATTCTTGTAGTGAGAATAATAACACCTAAATTTTTTGTGTTGCAAATATTTTTTCCTGGTGTCTATATTTTGACATGATTTATGGTATCTTTTGATTGTACCTTTTTAAAAATTTTTATATGGTCAACTCTTGTCAGTTTTGACGTCTTCTGGATTTCCTGTCATGTTGAAAAATGTTTCTCCTGTCCGGAAGTTGTATGGATAGTCCTAAATTTTCCCTGTCATTTTTTATAGTAAAGTCTTTAATCAGATTTTGTTAGATACTGTGATGAAGCCTTCTGATTTTATTTTATTTATTTATTTATTTTTTACCCCCAAGATGGACATCAGTACCACTGAAGAAGTGAGATGTGTGGGTAACAAAGTTTGCCTAATCCTTTGGATCAAAGAAAACCATATACCACTATAAAAATGTTGGTCAGCGTTTAAAACTGAAGTTTTTCTTTCTCATAAAGGGCCTGAAATCTGTTCAAATACCTGGACAGGTATTGGTGTGGCAAGATTCCTAGGTTTAATACCATTGAGAACAGAAGGGAATATTGACCTGCAGTTTATTACCATTATCAATAAGCTACTTCTAAAACCTCTGAAGTTTTAATAATGTGATTCCTCAGTACTCTTTCCCTTCCCTGTGCTTTGCTTTTGTGTTTGAAAACAAATTATATATCTCTCGTTTATAAGCCAGAAATCTGGTTCTTGGTTCTAACAGGACATGATACTTGATACCGCTCAGGTATTAATGTAGTAAACAACATGGATAGTAGTGCAAGGTAAGAAAAGCAGTAAGGGGAAGTAGTCCTTTAGGGTAACTATTAATATACTACCTTACTCTTCTTTCAAGTTTGAACCTTAATTAACTAGGCAATGAAGATAAATGTTGGAAAGAAAAATGTAAAGACATATGAGTTTGGGCTTGATTATTACATTTTCCTTTTCTATCTAACAAAGAACAACTCAGGTTTCTTTTGTCTTAAATACCCCACCCATAAGCTTACATTGGCTACATTCCCTAGAAGCCTAATGAAGAGAAGTGCTTAATACTACTTCGATATTCCTGTGTGTGGGTGTGTGGGTGTGTGGGTGTGTGGGTGTGTGTATTCTAATAGATCGCACTGAGTGGCTGTCTTATAATTGATCCTTACAATATGCATTATTTTTATGTTTTATTAAACCAACATAAAAGTTGGGTATCAAGCAAAAGAATCTAATATGAAGTGGAATATGAATAATATGTATATTTGTATGTAACCTATAAGATACATTAACTCTTTCATGTTCTGATGAATAAATGAATTTGTACCTTTGAATATTCACTGAACAAGAGCTATTTTAACAACTTAAAGTTCTAGTAGTTGACTTGATATAATCAAGGAAGTTGATTTTAAATGTTAGTGTAATGTGCTATACTTTTCAGATACATGACAATCTGTAACATATCTGCTAATAGGGAATAAGGAGGGGGGATTGAAGGTTGTTGGGTTTGTGGGGGTGAGGTTTTGTGTGTGTGTGTGCGCTAAGAATTTATATTACGTTGAAAAGTCACCTAGAGAAGTGCAAAAATATGAAGTCGTATTCATCTGAAGACTTTCATTTCAGTTCATGTTTTTGCTATAAAAGCATTGCAGATCTCCATGAGCACATACAAGAGTTTAGTTCCCAAAAGAAATATCTAACAGTTGTTGAATACTGTGCTGTTTTCCATACTCTTTCTTCCTCAAATGCCCTATGCAGGGTAGGTATGATTGACCCCATTTTACAGGTGAAGATGCTAGGGCACAAAAAGGTTAAATAAGGTTAAGGGCATTTGTATGACTTTGGACATTAGTTGTGGGAATAAAGAGAAGGGAACTGATTTGAAGATCCGGTTTTGTCCATTTTAACTGCCATATATGTGATTGTAGAATAAAGTGGTTTGGGATATAAAATGAGGTGATGTGGAAGTTGGGAAGAAGGGGATCCAGAGTGACTCCCAAGATTTCATTTCATCTTGTAAGGATGAAAATGTCATTTAGTGAGAAAGGGAATGGAAGCAAGTTCAAGGAGGAAGATAAAGTGGCTTTGGACATACTTTCAGGTATTTTTCCTTACTTTGATTAGTGTATTACTTAGTATACCTACAATGCATACATATTACATAATTTGACTGAAAGTACAAGATAGTAAACTCAAAACTTGTTTGATAAGGGAAATTGCTCACTGGCTTAGAGACAAAATAATGTAGTTCAGAGCACTGGCTCTGGAGTTTGACCCCAAGGGTTTGAATCCCAGCTCAGCTACTGCAGTACTTAAGTTCCCTCCGCCTCAGAATTCTCTATAAAGCTGGGAGGACCTAATGGTATTTATCTCATGGGATTTTCAAGATTAAATGAGAAACATGAAAAATACCTAGAGCTGAATGTCTTGTACTTAAGAAGGACCAGTTAAGTCATTGCCAGTCTCCACTGTAAGCCTCAAGATGACTAGGACCCTGGAGTGGTACAATCCCAAGACTCGCCATCTCTGGTGGCTGGCTCTCTGGAACTAATCTCCACAAATCCGAAACAGGTGCTGGCAGCACCCAAGTCCCCAAGTCTGTTTCTACAGTGGCACTGAGGTTTTCTCTCTGCTGTCTAAGGGTCCACAAATGCCCTCTCTGGAACTATCAACTGGAACCAGTTGTGTGGGGAAATAGGATTGGATCAACTGCAGAAGAGTCATTTTCAGAAAAAAGATGGGAGCTTTATATAAACAAAATGTATAATTAAAGCAAAGAATTTCAGCCAATTTGAAAGCACCTTTTTAAAATACCCTTTGTCCTTGCTTTTTTGAAAACTTCTAATGTGAATATTGCCGTGTCCTGAAGCATCATAGAACTTCCTATCAACTCTTACCCTTTTTTCAAATGAGGATTGAAATCTGCCCTTTTCCTTAAATTTGAGTGTTGGGGAAAAAATCCACTTAGGAGAGCAGAACAAGAACATTGATGTTTAAAGCTGCTCTTGTAGCTCCGTGAATGTACAGAGAATTTTTACTTTTTAAAAATGAAACCTATCCTTATTCAAAAATTCTGCATATTAGCTTCCTAAAGGAGAAAAATAAGGACACAGAAACTAATACTAAGTGACTTTTCACTGCAGCCTTTTTCCTTACATTTATTTCAGTGTCTTTAAGGATCAAGCTCAGTGCTATCCACTGATTCCTACCTACCCCCCCCCCATGCACTTTTTTTGGATACTGACAACA